TGTTACAGACTTGCAATGCTTTTTCTGAAAAGCAGCTTTCAGAGATAGGCCAGGATTTGAAGCACAGGAAATCCTGGGCACTCCTAAAAAGAGAAAAACTGGCCAGTGCAGTTGTTGGGGGATCCAACCAGAGTTCTCAGCAGCCTCGTGTAAGCTTTGCAGACTGATCTGTCATGCAAGTTCCTGATGCAAAGCAAGTAAATATATTTTAAAAAATTAAAAAAGCATGACAGGGTACAAAGGAGCAGACTGTTTGCTCACAGAGTTGGAAAAGCACAGTCCCTTTTGACCTCTTTTTAGTCAGGGAGCAATTCCTGAGCTGTTCCGAGAGAGAGGTAGCGTGGCCAGGCCCAGCATTCCAGCAATTATCAGTGGAAATGGAAACAGCAACACAGATGCCAATGGTGTGATGCAAGTTTCATTGTCCCTGTCAGAATGGAAGTCCATTATGGTTTCTGGACTGTTTGCTTGGAATTTAGTGTCAGTCGTAGATCCATGTAAATCACGCTTCTAAGCCAGGAAATAAGATTTTTCTTTTTTTTAAGGGAGCTCCTCCTCATTCCTTGGCCTGTGCTGCTCTGAAGGGCTGTTTTGGACCTTGAAGAGGAGCTTAGCACACATAGAAAGAGCTGAGAGACAGGAAACCTCAGTCTCCTCTGCAGAGGTAAGAAGCACGCATATGAAAGTTTTGCTGTTCATAAAGCATAAAACTGGAATCATTGTAGGTGCGTGCTTGTAAAATACTTAGGAAACAGCTGAACACCAGCAAGAAATAACAATATTGTGCCCCCCTCCTCTCTCCAATGTCAATGGGTTAGCAGAGAACAATTTGGAAGATAATGGAAACCAGAGGAAGAGTAGGTCAGACCTAGAAGGAGAATAGTAAAATTCAGGCCAGTAGGGATTACTGGAAATGTTAAATGTTTTAATTCTGAAGTAGGTTTAGGGATAATCTTTGTGGTATTAAAAGCTCAGGCTTTCTTCTAGTAATTGAAATTAAATAGCACTTGCTCAAGCAAGGATAGTTTCTTATCTGTCTATCATTACAAACAAAAATAATACCATATGTTTAGCAGTATCTAAATATCTAAAGTTAGACAACACGTCTTTCAAACGCTTCCCAGCATGCTCTGCAGTGAGAAAATAACCAAAACCAAATGGTGTTTGCCCCAGGATCTGTATAATTGCAAATAACTCTAAAGACATTTCCAGGTTAGAAAGCTGTTACAAACACCCATATGCTCGTTTCATCTCAGATATAAATCTAAAACGTAAGAACTAAGAACCTAGGGAGGGAAGGACGCTTTGATAATATAAGGCTCTTTAATACATAAAGCAATAAAATCCATGATCTTTGAAGCTGGACATGTTCAAGACGGAAATAAAATGTGTCTTTACAGCAAATATGCCCAAGTAGCACAGCTCATGGAATAATGTTGTTAATTGTCTGCCAACTGAATGTTTACTTCACGATTCGATAATGCTATTGACAAAAATATGAGTCCCTTCTTTCACTATATATATATATTGACTTCTTCCCGAATAGCCTATGAAATGAAGATGTTTATCACCTTTCTAGTTATTCTCAATAATCTCTGAATGGATAGAAAACCTGGAAATCACAAGCACCGCTAGAGTAAAGACCGGGGTGACAGCCCCGGCGGTTACCGGAGCGGAGCAGGCGAGGTGTCCCGAGAGAGGCCGGTACTTTGAGGGCAATAAACGCGCCCGGTCTGAGGCGGAACCACGACCCGGGGCCGCGGCCGCCGCCGCCGGGACACGGGGGTGCAGCCCCGCGGACACTCCCCGCCGCCTCCAGCAGGGGGCGCTGCCGCACGCGGGATGGCGCGGGCCGGGGGCGCGCGGGGCCGGGAGGCCATGGCGGCTGAGGGGAAGGAGGGCCGCTGAGGGGAAGGAGGGCCGCAGAGGGCCGGTGCCCCGTCGCCGAGGGGCTGGCGTCCGGGGGCCGCCCGAGCTGGCGGCAGCAGAGCAGACAAGACCCCCCCGCCCGCCGCCTGGGCTTCCCTGGGCCTGTCAGAGACCCCAGCCCCTCCACCGGCAGCTCCGGTGCCGCCACCTCGCGCCGCCCGGGTCCCGGATGGGTCATGGCGGGGGGGCGCCCGGGAG